GAGATGGGGCTTTTGTTTCTCTCTGAGAGGTTTAATTTGGACAGCTCGCTCTCCCCTCTCTGTTTCTCTCTCTCACTCTCTCAAATTGTCTTCTGACTTTCATTCGGCAGTCTCTGTTTCTTAATTGCCCCTAATTGCTTAATTACAATTTCAAATGAACAATTCTGGAGGTCAGAGCGGGTTGTTAATTGAAGCATCAATCACAGTGGTGGGGCCTTCAGAACTGTCTCAGTTTGATTGACAGGGCATTAACTGAGTATTGTAGTAAGCCTGGACATGACATTGTGTGGGCTCCATGGCTGTTACTACTGTTAATGCTGCTCTTCTACTGTCCTTCACATGATGCTGTGAAGGAGAAACCTTCTGGGTTAGAAACAGGACAGGGACAGATAAGACTGAACTTCAACCACTACAAACAGGATGTGACTTTATGTCCTTCACCTTGTGGACACCTTTGTCCACATACTTCCAGCCATATATATCAGATATTTTTAGCCCCATACTGTGGACTGTTTTCATGGTTTAGGCCAGCCACCTTAATGGCAACTAAGTGAACGCTTATCCTATAGTACACAATGATATTTTAGACCACTGTTTAGCTTTATGGCCATAGTTTGTGGACAACCCTTTCCTGTTTCAACATGGCAATTCCTACTTACACGAAACAATGTCCATAAAGAATTGGTTTTCTGAATAGGAATGTAACTAATGTTTCTTCTCATTATTGTAGTAATCGGTTAAACTTTTTTCTGAATAAAATGCCAGGAAAAAGTAAAAAATGCCCATCATAGTTTCCTACAGTCCAATGTGTCCTTAAATGTCTTCCTTTCTTGGACCAACAGTCCAAAACCCAAAGAGATTAAGTTCATATAATAGACTAAAATGAAACCGTAAATATTCACATTTATGAAACTGGAACTCTGGAACTTGGGGGATTTTTGCTTAAAAATTTACTTACATTTTTAGTTAAGTATAAAATGTGTAATTTTTTGGCGCAGCTGACTAATCGATTTATTGACCAATTGTTTCAGCTTTATGTGTTTGTGTTTTTTTAAAAATATTTTTTAACACCTCAGTTTGTATGATATGGCAGTGTAGCTACATGAGGGTGTGATACCAATTCTTTGAAGCACTTTTGGTCAGTTTTTATAATTGCTTCAGATACTACACCAACCATTACTTTAGTGTATCAAAAACAATCAAAAAGTGATTTAAACATTCAAAGAATAGCTGTAGATTAATTTCTTAGTTTGGTGTGGAAGGACTCTACTGGCCTGACCTCAGCCCTGTTGAACATTGACCCAAATCAGCCTCAGATTCTCTTATGGATTAGTTCCAGCAAATCCTCACAGGCAAGTTCCAAATATCTTGTGTAAAGCAGTCCCATAGTAGTGGACGCTATTATAACAGTTGGTTTTGAAATAAGATGTTCAACAATCACATATGAGTGTAATTTTTGTCCACGTACTTTTGGCCATATAGCGTATCCAGCTGATCTTGAGATTCTGAGTAATTAGTTCCAAACCGAGTTAATAAAGTACATTTTAAATTAAAGAGTTCCACCGAGGGATTCTGTGTAAGCATGTAACAGCCAGTTAACCTCTCTGTTATATTCAGTCTGCCACTTTTGATCAACCTCCTTCCAATCCATCCACCTCTATCTCCTCCTCCTTTTATTCTTCTCCCCCTCCTCCCAGTCTGCATCTCCTCCAGAGGGACGAGACCCAGGTGATTATTAGGCTGGTTTTCCTCGTCTAGACCCTGGCTGGTTAGTTGGAGCTCCTCCCTCCTTCCTCTGCCTAATGGAGCTGGAACTACCTCTCTCACTACTTCCCTCTCTTTATAAATTCCCCCATCTCTCTCCCTCTTCTCTGTTTCTCCTACCCTTCCCTTTCTTCTTTTCATCCCCTATCTAACTCTCCTTTTATGTCTCTCTATATGTTTCTCCCTCTGTCTACGTCCCTTCTCCACCACTGCTCAGTTGGCTGCATTTAGCTTTTTTCCCCCTCTTCTTACTCTTTTTTTGGGTTTTGTTTTTCTGTTGTTTCTCCCCCCTTCTCCTCCCTCCCACTGTCCTCTTCTACCCCCCTTCTCCTCCTCCACCTTCTCCTGCTGCTGCTCCTCTCCTCTGGGGCTCCATCCATCAGGTTGTCGGGGGCTGCTAGCGGCTGACTCCCAGCCACCATATTTCACCGCCAGCCAGCCAAGCAGCTGACAGCACAGCCACCGCCAGGAAATTGCTTTGGCTGTGAGCGGAATTTCAAACACAGGCACACTGCGTCGCCCGGGCCGCCCAAGCACCGCTTCCCTCTCTCTCTCTCTTTCTCTCTCTCTCTCCTGTCAATCTCTCTATACCTCCATACACACATCTCTATGTCTCTCCCTATCTCTCCCCGTTTTTCTCTCTTTTTCTCTCTCTGTGTTTGTCTTTATGTACTTATTTCCCCCCTTTCTCTCTCTTTTTCGCACCCCCATCTCTATATGTTTTTCTGTTTGCTCTTCCCTGCCCCTCTGCGTCTTCACACACACACACAGTCACAAACCCATATGCATCGTTTTACTCTCTTTGTCTTTTGTCAGTCTTTGTTGTTCCCCTCACTCTGCTCTCCCTCCCTTCTTCCCCTTCACCTCCCACTATCTCTACCTCTCCTTCTCCATCCTCTCACTCTTTCCTTCCTCTCCTCCTCTTTACAACCCACAGGGAACAAGGTGTGGTGCTGCATGTGTAATGAGCGGCGAGAAAGGGAGGGAGATAAAGAGGAGGAAGAAGAAGAGTGGATGGATAAAACCAGAAGGAGAATGGAGTTATAAGATAGAGAGGGCAGGCAGAGAGGAGGGATGCTGGTTGGTGCTGCACCTGAGTTAAGGGTCAGAGGGTGTGCGTGTGTGTGTGTGTGTGTGTGTGTGCTTGTATTCCTGCCCTTTTCAGAACCAGTTTAAGACCATAGAAGTGAGGAGATTTTTTCCAAGTGCGGTCTTTTTTCCGGTCTTCACATATTGGCTGGTTTGGGGTTAAAGGAATGCACCAGCTTTTTCTTTTGGAGACCGGACTATTAGATTGTTTATACAGCAAGATCACAGATCAATCAAAATCACGTGCTGCTCCATTTAAATAAAACAGAGATAAAAACATGTAGCAGCTCTGTGGTTACGCCGTTGAGATCATTTTAAAATACGTGCAGCTAAATTGTTTCTTGTAGTATATTCTTAGAAAAGTTATGCAACAACCTGAATATAGTGCAATCATGAAACTAAATTGTATAATGTTTCATATTTAGTACAAATATAAATGTGGTGGGCAATGGGGGACGGATTAAGAATATGATAAATATCATTTAACATCATACACTGGTCTATGTAAAGTAATTAGGACATGATTTACACTGATGGGGGAATTAGAACTCCAGCTACATGTATGGTCCATTTATACACTACATGATAACATGGATAACACTATTAAGTATTATATATTATATATAATATTATTATATATATTATATTATATATATATATATATATAATATAATATATATATATATATGTGTGTGCTTTTATCTATATTGTACTTGTCTATTGTAGTGTACTGTTTACTCTCTACTGTTTTATGCTATACTATGAAATAATACAAGACATTCACAGATGGACATCATACTGCAATTTGGCAACACTCCTGCCAATTTAGTTTAGAAAAGGTCAAGAATAGACCGTAAAATGTTTGACCAAAGCTTTAAAACTTTGTTGTTGTTGTTTTTTTATTATTTTCTTAAGTGTTCCTGGGGCTCTCACTACCATCCTCAATTTGTTTTAATTATTTCTAGCTGTGAGCAGCTCCACTATTTCTTTTGTGTGTTGCATTGAGGATTAACAATGATAAATGGCCTGTACTTGTATAGCTTCTTCCAACCACTCAAAGCACTTTAACACTATATGCCACGTTCATTCACACAGAAATTCATTCATGCACAGCATCAGGAGCAATTTAGGGTTCAGTATCTTGCTGAAATGTTCAGTGGGAGGAGCTGGGGATCAAACCACCAACCATCTGATTGGTGGAAGACCTGCTCTACCTCCATAGCCACAGCCGCCTCAATGCTGATTCACAGCACACTCAAAAACTGACACTCATACTTATGAAATTGTTATGCATAGCTTCCAACCACCCTAGCTAAGACAGACCTGTCGTTGCTCTATTGAGTAATGGAATTCCAGCACCACTAATCTGCATTTTTGTTACGTTACATTCTTGATAACAATGTCAAATCTCTCAAACTGCAAGCCTTTATGAGCATTAAATACCTGAAATGGGTCCTTCAGTCATCCAGGACTGTGGTAGTCCTGCATCTCCATGTCATAGTGAGGGTTATAGTTAGAGGTTGGAGAATAAGTCATGTCTGTGGAAGCTGCCTATATGTATCAGGATAAAAGTCTGTGTATGCGTGTGTGAGTGTGTTTGTGTTTGTGTGTAGATTGAGTGATAACAGAGTCGAGCAAGAGAAACAGATCTTATCAAATCCATTTTATACAGTGTATACTGGAGAGAAAAGGCATTACACACTCCATATGAAGTCAATATTAACTTGATAAATAAGTGTGGAGTTTGTGCTGAATCTCTGACATCCACGTGAGGGAGCGTGTGCGTGTCTTCACACTGTCACCATCTCTGCTTACATTCATGTATGTACTGTAGGTGTGCCCTTCAGAAGGACAGTCTGATTGAAGTTATGTGTGGGTGGTTGGCTCCTTTCAGGCAGTAAACTTATTCTCGGTCTGCAGTGTCTGGAGGGTTTGTAGTCGTCCCATGGGTGACAGCTTCTGCTCATGACAGTCAAAGAAAGAAAGGCCTTCCCTTAACCCCAGTGGGTAAACTGGTGTGGACAGTTGCTCAAACTGAAAAATATATCCCACCTTCCCCACTAACCTGCTGTTTTTTTATCTTCTGTCTGTGTCTCTCTGTCCTTCTGTTCTCTTTCACTGCCTCCGTCCCTCTTTTCCTGCATCAGAGAGTTACTTTGGAGTTCTACATTGATGTTCATGCCCACTCCACCATGCTGAATGGCTTCATGTATGGAAATGTGTTCGAGGACGAGGAGCGCGTCCAGAGACAGGCTGTCTTCCCCAGGCTGCTGTGCCAAAATGCACCAGACTTCTCCTTTGTAAGTCACACAAACAGACACACGCACAAACACACCAAAAAAGCCGGGCTTAGGAGCTGAATTTCACCAGCTTCAGTCCCGGGGCTAGCTCGAAAAGAGAACATGAAATAGTCCTATCTCAGCAACTACTGGTGAGGTGGTGTTCAGCAAGGCTCTTAACTGCTACCTGCTGCACTCTTAGTGGCACACAGTTGAAGACCTTGGTTGCACTGGGCACCTCCCAGGTGTAAAAGTGTGTTACTGTGTGAGGTGTTGATTGAAAAAAGCGCTTAGTGGGTTTCAGGTGAGAAAAAAATATATTCAGACCGCATGTACAGCATGTATTAATTAGCAACACATTGTGAACCCAGCTCACACATGTGAGTGTGAGTGTAAACACACACACATACATACACACAGCAGGCGTTGAATTATTTGTGTGCAGAAGAAAGGAGCATATTCCAGCTGCACACATACATTCTCACCTTGACCACAAAAGAGAGGAGGTGAGGGGAGTATAAAATAAAAAAAGAGTATTAAAGATGCGAGGGTGAAATTTTAAACCATAACAATTCAGTTCAATTATTAGTATATATTTCAAAACGTATGAATTATGTAAATTCAGCATCAGGTAAGTATGCAAAGTTTTGGTGTGCGTGTGAAAACAGCAGCATTGGTTGCAGAAGTCCTTGAGGAGCAAAAATATATAACGGGAAATTATGTATGAGAAGCTACAGCAGTAAGGTATGAAGTAAGCTGCGAATTATCAATATACTGTAAATCCAATTGAACAAGTAAGAGGAAGGTTAGAATATGAACAAAAATGTGTGAAATAACATTGATTTTAAGTGTAGTTACAGTTCTAAAAAGATCCTGCAGATGCACAGAAGTAGGGATGAGAATCGAGAAACGGTTCCAAATTCTCCAATACGTAACTATCATATGCCTCAACGCGTATCAGTTTTTTTTAATCGATGCTGGCATGTTGTTCTGACAGTTGCACATTGCAAAACAATGACGTCAAACAAGCATCTACCCTGCTGGAAACAGGCAACAAGAAAGAGTCATGGCGGAGGGGAAGAAATGGTCCAAAGTGTGATTTCATTTCACAAAGACACTCAAACTGCTGTAACTGTACTCTGTTTCTACACTAAGTTTGGACTTAAAGATAATAAAGCATCTGCACTAATCCTGAGAACCTTAAGTAATAACCTGAATCAATAGCGGCATTGGTATCAATAAAATCTTATCAATTCCAATCCGTACACAAAACAGAGATACAGTATATAATAAAATGTTTCCCAGACATGTAGTCATTAATATGAATATGCATTCATACTGTACATATGTGCAGAACAGAAATAGCAAACACTGTATAGGTCATGACGAAGCATAGTACTGTAAAAGTAGGCCGGGATATTCAGCAGTTTGAGCAGTGCAGGTGTTCTGCTAATTATATAAATTATATAATTTCCCTCTGGGATTATTAAAGTATTTCTGAATCTGAACACCCTCTGAGGTGGCTGAAACTGGGTTTATTTAGACTGTGTTGACTAAGGGCAGTGAGTAGGGGAAAACCAAGAAAAAAAAATTAGTAGTATTGGATATGAATGGCAGAGAGAAGAGCCTCTGGGAGAAAAGCCATCCATCTATCCACTGACTGCGATGCTCCTCCACTCAGCCACACATGCATAGCCTAATGACACCTTTTCATATAAGCAGATTATCCACCAAACCATCTCCTCTCAGCCCTGTGTCACTACCACTGACCTTCGTTTTCTCACTGACAGTGACATTTCATTGCAGAGCCACTTACACACATCATAAAGAATAACCTTTATTGCCCATTGACACTCAGCACCAACCTCGATACAGTGACAAGCCAGACAGGTGAATGTTCACCCACACATGTATGGAAATGTCACTGATTGTCAGTGTCTATATGGAGTATACGCAGTGTTACAAAGGACGAGTAAAACGCTATTTCAGGAAATTTATGTCTCTCCCTCACTCGCTCTGTATTGCTTGTGTGACAGCTGGCCCAGGGGTCATCTCCCTCACTGTGCTTTTGTCCCTCTGCCCATTCAGCACTACCTAAAGCCCAATGCAGCAGCAGCAGCAGCAGCCCAACACAATCATGGCAAACTCCCACTGGTGGCCGTGGCCGCCAAGTCTGCATTTCAGCAAGGCAACTCTTACTGCAGCAGAGTGGAGTGACAGTGAATGGAAACTTTTTCCACACTCTTCCCAAGACAGCGTCGTATTTGTGTAGTATAGCTGACACACTGAAACCCAAAATAGACTGGATGTGGGTTTTTTTTTTCTGCTGCAGCCATTTACAGCCAATCTTTGTAATGACATTGTATGAAGTGAATCTGTTCAAATAAGCTACTGTACCCTTCATAATTTGCCCTGGATTCTCTAGAGACTTACCGCTGCAAGTTACTGAGAAATAAATCATTGGGTGTTAATGCATTTTCACTGATGAGACATGTCAGTCGAAATTGACAGATGTTGTTTTGTTTTTTAATTTTTCAACAAGGACATATAGTCACATTAAATTGTGAGTCCGATATTCATGATGTAAATTGTTTCTCTGTTGATATAATGGATTTATTAGTTGCTGGGTCAGTTATTACAAGACTAGTGGCAGTTATAGTAATGTACTTTAGACACACTCAGTTAGACAAATATTATAGTCATGCTAAAGGATAATTCCATACTACCTGTTTGCCTTTACCTAAACACACCCCAGAAAAAAAAATATACATTGTTATAACTTGATTTAATTAGTTTAAGTTTAGCAGCTGCCCCAACTGAAAAATGTCTAACATACAGTGCTTTCAGAAATCCTTAAACTTTCAATAACAGATTTTTGGAGGCAGTGGAAACAAGCTCTGATCACCTTTTAAGTTGATATAAGTTGTACATTGATATGATAAACCTGTTACCAAACAGTTTATTAGACATGGAGAATCATAAACATTTATCTGGAGACATATTTCTAAGTCCAATATTCACTCGCCTTTAAGCTCTGTTTTTGGTCTCTACCAACTCCTGAGGGAAACATCTAGCTCTGTTAATGCTCCACTTTATTCTTTTCGCTAACTTTCTCTGCCTGCTGTTTGGTTCTTCGCAGAGCAGCTTTATCAGAGTATGTTCAGCAAAAACAGCTGCCTACTACGGCCAAAAATGCAGCAGATGAGAGCGATGAACCAAAACAGTAAATTTGTAGGCTTGAAAACCAAAACAAAGAGCTGAAAGACATTAAAGCACTTGCAGTACAGTACAGTGTTGCGGAACTGCAGAGTTTGGTGATAATTCTGTCAGTTCATCACTATGAGCAACACCTTTCACATCGCATAGTCATTTGATTTGTTGTTATTACAAGTATTGATTCTAGCTGCTTTAAACCTCATAGGTCTTTGCAGATTTGCCCGACACAATAGTCCTTTTGTGATTCTTCAGATATTGGCAGTAACAGACCCATTTCCACCATAGCGTAAAGGTGTGCACTGTATACTTTTTTAAAAGTACAGTGATGTGTAAACTGTGACACAAAAATACAAAAGCAATATCTTCTTGCTAAAAATAATCTGTCATTCAGGTTTTCAAGTACTTTAGAAAATTATTTTATTTTGGAAAGTTTCAGCTGGGAAACACACACACACACACACACACACAAAAAAAAACTCAACAATTTCCTTGGAGGTGTTAAGGATCTATGTAGGTATTTAAGGTTATATGTCATAGTTGGGGCTAATGATCTCCATAGGGACATTCTCCAGACTCCGGAGTCTTGCTCAAAGATGCTTAACAGGGTGAATGTTTGCTGATACAAAGACTTGAACCCAAATCCTCTCACTAAAGTGTCCTCTCTCTAACTATTAGTCTAACTGTTATCTTTTTGTGCGTGTGTGTGTTCCTCTAGTCAAACACGTCCTTCAACCGAGATGTGGTGAAGGCCGGTACTGGGAGACGGTTCCTTGGTGGCCTCCTTGATGACACATCCTACTGCTACACTCTAGAGGTGTCCTTCTACAGCTACATGACAGCTGGCAGCACCGCTCCTGTGCCCTACACTGAGGAGACTTGTATCCTTCAACATATATAATCTGTGTGTGCGTGTGTGTGTGTGTGAAGATATAGTTCAGAGTGTAAAGAGCAGCAGTTATGTTCTATTGTGTCTGTTTTTCCTCTCTCCTTGTCTCTTACAGACACACACACACACAGAGTAACAATCTCCCACTGAAATCAAGCCAATTGATCTTGTAATCATTGGAGTCATTATTTTAATATTTGTGTTCCTGGTTGTGTGTGTGTGTGTGTTTGTGTCAGGTCATGTGTACTCACTAGAAAACCATGTTGCTCTTTTGTTGCCTCTTGTTGCAACAGATGTGCAGTGACAGAATAGGGATGTGATAGCTGCGTCTATTGATTTCATTTACAAAGGAAACCGCAGAGAGGGGATTGTGTTGGCATATGTGATTCTGTGTGTGCGTGTAGTTGAGGCTTTGATTGCGATAAACAATGGAACAATGGAACAAACATGATTCCTGTCGACTACAATCGTGCACACACACATTGCAGCACACATGTACATTCGTCACGGGAACCGAAGGTCACAGGTGTGTTAATGGAGCCAGATGGGAGGAAGTTTTCCTTCAGCTGACCTTCTCGGGGCTGAAGAGCTCCTGAGAGCCGGCCAATGGCGGTCTGATCTTACCGATAGAGTGAGTGAGAAGAGGGAGAAAGAGAGATTTAGAGAGGGCGATAAGGACCCTACACATGAAAAGTATGTGCTCTCCTACACATATTTTGCAGGTGGAGAGGAGGGTGGATATAGACGTAGCCCTAGTGCCCTCTAGTGCTAAGAGCTGGCACAGTCTGACTCAACATAAACGTCCGATTCATACACACACAGAAAGTTAGTAACATTCAGATCAATTGTGCATATAGATAATTGTAAATCTGTAGAAGAGGTGACACATGATTCATGGTATCCTGTGAACCATGAGGCTTTTGTGAGAAGCTGGAAAAAACATACCTGGTATTTTTCCTTAAGCAGAAACTCAAACTTACTGATGATGGTGTGTGTGTGTGTGTGTGTGTGTGTGTGTGTGTTCTACATTCGCTCATCACTTTAATGCTTTTACAACGTCTTTATGCAAAGACAACAGGTCTTTGCATAAAGATGTTGCGATGCCCAAATGGAAATACAGGGCACCACCACAGCCAAAAACAAATAGTTAGCCTTACATTGAGGAGGTGTCTTGCTGTTATGACCAACAAACAGAGCATAACAAATTTCACTGTGTGCTGTCAAGCTGGCGGCACTGGGTTCCGAGCAAGATAAGAAACGGGGAGCCAGGTTTCGAGCATCTATGTGAGCACAGAGGAGACATTTTTCCTGAAGGTCAAAAACTCAGCCCTTGTGGGAGGACTTCCTTGATCTTTTCTGTTTTTAAGGAGGTGTGTGTGTGTGTGTGTGTGTGTGTGGCTCTATGAAGGGTAGGTGTACAAGGAGGAGGGGCTCCACAGGGTGGGCAGGCAGCACGGGGACCTGGTGTAGAGTGGAGATTGGGGTCAGGCAGGTTGAAGGAACCGACCATGTCGCTTTATACGCCCCAGCAGTCAGCTCGATGGAGCGTGCAAATCATCAACAGAGACCTTTAGCATCTCAACGCCCCCCCTCCACCTTTCTCACCTGATGCACACACACACACACACACAGACACACACACACAGGCCTCTAAACTAATACATGACAAATGAATAATAACCTGGGCCCCTAACTCTTTCCACCTTCCAAACATGCCGGCCTTACCCTTTCATCTCTGCTGACTCCCCTTCTCCACCGCTGTGACTTGTGTCCACCAAAATTGAAATCTTAACCTTAAGACTTTTGTCACAGTTTGACGGTGCTCAGAGAAACACGTTATGCAGCTTGTGTGTCTGTATTTGTTTTCTGATCTCTCCTGTCTTCTTCCTCTCATGTCCTCCTCTGTCCTTTATTCTGTCCTTTCCTCTCATCTTGTCACCCAGAACACAACAGCTCATTATATCATTTAGTCAAGCTGAGAATCCTCTTCTCTTAAACAGCAGGGACAACCTCTACTGTGTCTGTCTTCTCTTCGTCCTCTAGTCATTAAACACCTGTGTGTTCGTGTATGTGTGTTTCCATGTATCCGCGTACCTACTTCTGTATGTATGCGTCTCTCTTTAGTTAGTTTCAACTAAGACAATCCCAGTCTCACTGACATCCCATCTCCTAGAACTATAACAAAACACTTTGGCCTGTTAGTTGTCCACCTGCATTTTGGGATGGACCTACCAGTTCAAACTCTGAAGTTTGAACTGAAAAGTGAAATGGATCAAGGTTGAGAGAATCTGGGACCTTGTTCAAAACTCAGCTTGACGCTTTCCATTATGTGTGTGCTCAGTACATGTATTTATGTGAGCTGTGGAGGCCTACTTACCTAGTAGGTGTGTGTGTGTGCTTTTTTTTGGGTTGTGGAGAGACAGTATTCTCTATGACTTTGAAGAATTATTCCAAAACTTTTGAAAGCCATTCAGGCTGCAACTCTTCCCTAAAAGATTTTGCGCTTTGTTAAGCGATTGCTTTTTTTCTGTCATAATACAGACGTGCAGATTTTCAAGATTTTCAAACTTCTAACTCCGTCAGAGAGAAAGACCTACATTAGTTTTTTTTAGATTTCTGCACATTTGCTGTTTTCCTTCATTAAAGAAAGACATGCAAAGGCTTCTGAAACAGTGGTCTTCTTATCACAGAATTATTTTTAATTATTAACTTAAATTTTGTTGTTTTTTGAACAAAATATATATAGAAAAAAGTTTTTATTTTCCATTTGTCAATACTGGAGGTTAAATCAACAGAGAACTTCAGCCTTTATATAATAGGCCAACAAACGTAAGTCATTTCTACATAAATATACAAGCACACAAGCATTCATCAGCTGTCCCTCCAGTCTTTAAAAAGATC